GTTCCAAGAGTTTACAACCCTCACTCCGAAAAAGTTTGCCCTCACGGTTTTCCGGACTTGCGGCTTCTTCAATCTTGAGCTGTGACCCCTTGTGGGGCGAGCGTCCGCCAGCTCCAAGTAAGGACACTCAACTGAGTAGTGCCCCCTGAGATGCTTATAAACCTCAACTAGGTCCCCCCTTGCCCGTCTGTAGTATAAGCTAGGCAAGTTCAGGCGCTCCAATCTCGCAGGGTAGCTGAGATGCCGAAGTGCAGGCACCAGCTTGGTGGCCCTCCTTTGAACATTTTCAACCAACTGACAGTCCCTAGCATATCTCGGGGACCAGATGGGGTGACAGTACTCCAGATGGGGAAGCACTTCACTCCTGAAGATCGTCACGAGGGACGGACCGTCTAGATATCTGAACGACCTTCTTATAAGACCCAATAATTTATTTGCCTGATTTACCTTCTTCTCACAATGGCCCGAGAACTTCAGCTCATTGTCAACATACACACCTAGGTCCTTCTCACACACAGTCTCAACTAGTACATTTTCTTCATCCCGTTGGGACATATGGTACGCCTCCTTACCGTTGGTACGCCCCAGGTGCATCCTCTTACACTTCGTGACATTGAATCTCAGCAGCCATTCCTTCGACCATTCCTGGAGCCCACAGAGGTCCTTCTGCAGCTCTTCACAGTCCGCTTGGTTCTTAATTTCCCGAAATAACTTGGCGTCATCGGCAAACATTTGTATGGAGGAGTGTACAACGTCAGGCATATCATTTATGAAACAAACAAACAACAGCGGGCCCAATACACTACCCTGCGGTACCCCACTTGTTACAGGTACAGATGACGATTTCGTGCCATTAATCACCACACATTGCTTGCGGTCATGTAGAAAGTCTTCTATCCACGCTAGGACATTTCCCCGAATTCCGTACCCTTCCAGTTTGATTTTCAGCCTTTCGTGGGGTACACTGTCGAAAGCCTTGGCAAAATCTAGGTAAATATTGTCGATATTACCACCCCGTTCTAGAATATGGGTCCAAATATCCAATACCTTGAGCAATTGTGTCAAGCAAGAGCGCCCCGGCATAAAACCGTGTTGGCAATCTTTTACAAGGTTGTTTCGTAGTAGATGTTCCATCGCTGCATCTCTGATAATACTCTCAAGTACTTTACATATTATGCTGGTCAGGCTCACCGGTCTATAGTTGTTCGTGGAGTGCCTATCGCCCTTCTTGAAGATAGGACTCACATAAGCCACTTTCCATTCACTGGGGACCATTTGTTCATCCAGGCATTTACAAAACAGAATCTTCAGGGGCTCTGCAAGCTCGTTGCACAGCTCCCTTAGCACTCTAGGATGCACCATGTCAGGTCCAGGACTCTTATGGACCTTTAGCCTGGACAGTTTATTTCTAATACCCTCTTCTGTGAACACAATGTGGGTCAGTGCTGTGTCGAACCGTCTGTCCTCAAACGCAGGAAGGTTAGTTGCATCCTCTCTTGTGAACACTGAGGAAAAGAAGCTGTTCAATGCCTCAGCTTTATCCTGGTCAGAATCTGCGTAACTACCATCTTCAAGCCTCAGGTCTGATACTCCTACTCGCGTTTTCAATTTCGACTTTGCATAGCGGTAAAACGCCTTTGGGTTTGACTTGACCTCGCGTGCAACCAGCCTTTGGAACTCCTTTTCAGCCCTCCTACACTCTATCTTTGCTTGGTTTCTGGCTCTTGCATACATCCTCCTGTCTTGCTCATCGTTTGACCCAACCCACGTCTTGAATTTCTGGGTTTTCTTCTTAATTTTGTCGACCGCCGCATGGTTCATGTGTAGGGATCCCCTCGTATTCCTAGAAGCACTGGGTTTGGTCTTGGGTATATATTTATCGATCAAATGGGTCATTTTACTAGTTATGATATTCAGCGTAGTGTCTGCGTTCTTGTACCTTAATAAGTCAGGCCAGTTGATACCCCTCATCTCTTCCCTCATCCCATTGTAATTTCCCTTGTAATATTTGCACCTTGGCCTGGCCTTATCTTGAACTAGGTAACAGTTAAATCTGAATGACAACACTGTATGGTGACTGGTGCCAACTGGGGCAAGGTGTTCCAGTTTGGCCACCATACCCTCCTCGTTTGTTATGATGAGGTCAAGTGGCTTGGGTGTTTGCTCCCCTCTGTAATGTGTCGGGTCTCTCACATGTTGGAACAGAAAATTATCTCTCAGAGTTTCTACAAAAAGAGTAGCAGGATTATTCAAGTCATTCGGGGTTGACTCGTTTCTCCAGTCGATGTCGCCATAGTTAAAGTCCCCCATGATAAGGAGGTGGCTGGGGTTGAGCATCGCCGCATTGTTTATTAAGGTTCTTAAGTTCCTTTGATTTAGTGGGCCACAGTTCGGGGATCTGTAGATACACCCGACGATAAGTAAGTCCCCTCCCTTTAATTTAATTTTACACCACTTGGACTCTTCAAAGACATCCTCTCCCTGTACCCTCGCCTGGCTGGCTCTAAGGTCTTGCCTAGCGTAGATAACCACACCCCTCCTGCAGGATTCTTGAGTTAGGTTCGTAAATGAGTCATATCCAGCAATACTGAACTCACATTCCTCTGGGTCGATTCTCCTGTTCTTGTACAACAGTTCTACAACTCCTACAATATCTGGTTGGTGTACTCTTAGTAGTGTTTCAAACTCCTCCCTCTTATCAAGGAACGTGTCGGTATTAGTGTACATGACATTCAAGCCAGAATTTGTTCTCGGTAACGTCTCTGCTCTTAGTAATAAACCCGCTCCACCCACATTCTCAGAAGCTGCAGCATTTGCTAAGTACACTGTATTTTGCAGGGTGTGGTTAAAAATTTCATTGTTTACACGGCGCTCGTTCCCTCCTGTCCGGTAGGCTGAGCTGGTGCCGCCTCCCGGGTGGGGGGTTGAGTGGGTGGAGGGTGCACTGCTGCCCCCTGGCCCTGTGTCGGCACACTTGTTTCCACTACCCTCCCCCTGAGTATAACCCATGTGCACCTGTCCCCGTTCCTTCTCGACTCCTCCCTCTTCTGCTTCAAGTCCAGCAGGAGCTTCTTGTGCTGTTCCCTCTGCATTACCGTGCGGTCTGGGTGAATAAATACATCTCGAAATGCCTCGCTCCTTGCTAAGTTTTTTGCCTGCCGGATAACTTGCCATTTTTCCTCCTCACTCCCTAGTGTGATCCTGAGGGGGCGAGGCTTAACCCCCTGCTTTTGTCCCAGTCTCCTCACATCCTGAGGGGTTGCTGGAATCTTCAGAACCTCTGTGCAAATATTTTGAAACAGCACCTTGTCGTGTGTTTCCTTACTCACAGTTCCCTCTGCCTGGCTCTCTGGGACTCCAAAAACTATTACATTGTTCCTGCGCTGGAGCCGTTCCTGGTGTTCCTCCTCTCCCCTAACAGTAGGTCCGTTAATTTTCATTTCTTCGACACACTTTTTCAGAGTCCCAATCTGCTGTAGAACCTGTACTGATTCTGCATTACTCTCCGCCCCCCCCACCCGTGGCCCTCCTAATACGTCCGCATAGCTCCTCTTAGCAACCACCTCCATTCTATTAGCTACTTCCTCAGTCTTAGCAAGGATCTCTTTCTCAACTTGCTCCAGTTTGTCAACCAGCAGGGCTCCTGCTTCATCTATTTTCGTCCCTAGAGAACTCGTTCCCTTATGGATTGCAATCGCTTCATTCACCTTGACTATGCAGCCAGGGCAATACCAGCAACAGCCATCAAGCTTTACGGCAGTTAGTAACTTCCTAAACGTTGCATTAGTTAGGCCTGCATCCTCCATATCCGACGTCTCCCTGCAGTAATCACATACCAAACTCATGGTTGTTGTTGTTGTGGGGGGGGTGTAGACTGTGTATAGATCTACACCTATTTCAAAGAAAATAAAGAGAGAAAAAAGTACTTAGCTACTCTCTGTTGCCTATGGAGTTGTCGTCTGCGACTGCGTACACTGTATCTCCCTGTGAATGGTGTATTGTAGGCACAGTTTCAGTCCTTGAGCAAGCACACAATCAACATAAAATAAAATTTAAAGTCTCTGTGGCACCTATGACACGACTTGGTTTCAGCTGGCACGGTGCCTTTCCAGCTTGCTTGCTAGTGAGCGCTCACTTTAAGTTATTTACAACTTCAGCGGTCACTGATGACACTATGAACTATCACTGTGTACACTGTATCTCCCTGTGAGTGGTGTATTATAAACACAGATTCAGTCCTTGAGCAAGCACACAAACAAAATAAAATTTAAAGTCTCTGTGGCACCTATGACACGAATAGGCTGGCAGTTGTCCTTACCAGCTCGATTGCCAATATGTATTCACTTTAAGTTATTATAGTCTCTTCTGCATTCACTGATGACAACTATGAACTGATTTAACTGAAGGCACAGTACTACACTCCCTGGTTGGCCTTTATCACAGCCGTGACCACAACACCCTAAAAAATAAAATAAAATAAAAGCTTTGTCATGTGGCAGTGATTGTGTGGTTATAGGCCTGTGACCCTGGCTGTACCTCCAACTCGGTGGAAATTGAGTTTTCAAAAATACAATCGTGTCTAGCATGAAAAGTCCGACATCGATTTACACTTTCACCTCACTAAGACGATCTTGACGAACTTATGTAATCACTGTCCAATTTCTGCCGCTCTACATCGAAGGCCCGGATGCCGAACACGCTTTGTTACAGAGACGCAACACGACCCGCCCGCCCGCTACTCTGTACACAGGTATCCGTCAGTGTTGTTATGAGTTGAACAAGAACTAGTGAGCGGAGAGGCATCACGAATTGGTGGGCGTGGGAGGAGAAGGAATGAGGGAGGTGAGAGAAATGAGACAGGAGATGAAATGAAAGAATGAACAGTCATAGATAATATCTTCTTTGAACTTACAGTGTAGTAGTCTGGTGAAATGGACATATTATGAATGACCTTCTGTGCAACAAGCTTCTTTTAAAATAATTCTCAATAAATTTTCCAGATAAAGTGAAGTTTGCAAGATGAAGAGACTGTTAACAGTGGTCCTGCTGCTGCCCTGTGTGTTGGTAGTGGTCCTACCGCTGGTGGGCGTGGCATTAGCAAAAAGGAGCACAGGTTCGGAAGACAGTCAGCAGGTGGTCGTCGCTACACAGGAAGGGAAGATATCGGGCTTTAGAGACTTGTCCACTAAAGGAAATGCCTTTTACTCCTTCCACTCCATTCCTTACGCTAAACCACCCGTCGGTAATCTAAGACTGAAGGTAAAGTGGTTATTACATGTGTATATTCTTTTTATAAAGATTGTATGGTTATATCATTGTTTGAGTAACTGGATATTCAGTATTATTTTACTATAGACAACCTGATTGTTGAGTATAGAGAGTTTGAAAAACCACTATTCATTTTGTAAATGTTAAAATGAGTGAATGTGTCTTATGTGATAAGTGTGAGCCAGTGATCGGAGTTGTCACAGCTTGCCAGATCTCTCTCTGTTAACGGCAATACTTTCACCGACCTTTCATCCTACTATGTATTCCTCAAATTATCTACTTTATTATCTTTTGAGGTAATTCACTTAACTCAAAGAAGTGTGATTAAATTCCTAATGTTCCAGACCAACAATTAGTTGTTAAATTTGATAAACACGAGGAACTCATATTATTGACTTGTGTTGTTTTCTAGAGAATTTCTGTGACATTGACAAGCATTGAAAATGCAGAACTCATTATTTTAAGCAGCAAATATGAACAGCAATGTTGCCCCCATATTACTCCTTGCAGTTTATGAAGTATATGAAGGCAGTTTTGAGGGCATACATTATTTGTTTTTTATATGTACTGTATAAAATATGGAGTTCCACGCGTTCAATTTAGATACCAAAGTTTCCTCGGTAATAACAATTTCACAAGTTCCGTAAAATACGTACATATTCTGGACACCTTATGAATTAAGCTTATCTTTTCGCTTCTGAAGTCTTTAACGTATTTATGTCATCTCCCATTTATCTTCACCAAATATGTTGTTTTCTATCCAACCATTTTCGAAAATGTACACCCTTGATTTGTCATTGTTATTTTGTTTATTTTTGACATAATCTATTACTTACTGTTACTAACAGATTATTTATATACGTATGCGCGTTTTATAAAAAAAATCACCATGATTTCACAGATGTCTTGAAGAAAGACGAAAGCTAAGGTGCTCCATTATTTCCCTTTTCCCTGTGTGATTTTATCAATATACAGTATATATATATACAATATGTATATATATATATATATATATATATATATATATATATATATATATATATATATATATATATATATATATATATATATATATATATATATATATATATATATATATATATATATATATATATATATATATATATATATATAGTTTGAAGAAGAGATTACCTTCTTTTATATTGGAAATTTCATGTTATAATAAAATTTCTTTGCATATAATTATATCCATTATAATAATCTTGAATGAATTTTGATACAGTACACAGATTTTCACACGTGTTGAATTACATGTCCTGAATCTCCTGCAGGACCCAGTGGCTGCTGAAGGATGGACGGGTGTGAGGAACGGGACTGTTGTACCTCCCATTTGCTCCCAAATCCCTTTTATCGCTGTCACTAAAAGAGAACCAGTTTATAATGGAGAAGAGGACTGCCTCTACCTCAGCACCTTCAGCTCAAAGGTTAGATGCAAAAGTAAACTTCCTAGTTTACCAGGAACAGCACATGACAGTCGCATTTTGGGGCGTCACCTTTAAATGAGACAAAAATTCGACTAAATCAGTACAATGGATTTAGAAAGATTCGGACCGAATTTATATCTGCAAGTGACACCATCCATTCATTAACTTTTCCACTTTTCTGTCGACTTGCACCTTAATTCATGATGATAGCGTTAATTATACACCCTCTTTTTGTATCGCCAGCAAATTTACTCTTGTTGCTGCCTGTGCATATCTCGATATCATTAAGTTTATAATGACGAGTAATTGTCTAAGGACTGACCATTAATGCTGTCTCTGTGTTTTTCTTCTGTTAATCATAAATTAATCTAATATAGAATTTCTCCTCTAATGCCGCATGCCTCTTTTTCCTTATTAATATTTGTGTGGTGTCCGATCAAAATCTTTGCTAAAGTCGGAAGGTAAAGAGACCAGTCTGAGCATCTACCGCAGCTATCGTTAGATTCTTCCACTAATTACTCGAGATGATTTGGTTGGGATGGGACACCGTCCCATTGAAGCCGTACACACCAAAACCCACCTGGTGCTGCAATTGTCAGCACTATGGACATCCTGCGAAGAAGTGCCGAGCTTGGGAAGTCTGCGCCACGTGCAGGTCAAGAAAAACACGATCAAGAAGAATAAACAAGAGGAAGGGGTTTTATTAATAAGTCTACGGCCGTAAAATCCAAAGCAGTTGACGGCCAGGAAACCAACCAACCAACCAACCCTCAAATCATTTCTCTCACTCCGTTCTTCATGCTCACTTCGTCCTCGGTTTTCCGACCTCTAGCTAACATACGCTAAGTTTCTTGTGTACAGTACTTATTTCTTTCGAGTCTAGGGAGCTCCAGTTTTACAGACTATACCTATTTATGCAAATGTGTGAGACCTACAGTACTTGTGCTTTTCACAGTGATTTTGTATACTGTACTAGTACACGACACGACACGACACGATACTGGGCAGTGATCCTATCACTTATTACATGCACTCTCTCAGTCAAGACCTATTCACTGTTTATTTAATACTGTTATGTACATTTATTACTTTAACTTCTGTGTATTTTTTTATGTGTGTTTTTATATATAATAGAATTATTTGTATTAAGTATAGTTACAGTAGAAATAATTACCTACCAGTTTAATTATCCCCATGCCTGATTTCTGAGTCTATTTACATTATTAATTATATGGTAAATGATTTCATGGGAAACAATAATTATTTGTTGTCAAGTAAAACTCCCTGTTAATATCTTGCATGATCTTTGTGAGTTTCTTTTAACAAAAAAAAACATAAGAACATAAGAATTGAGGAAACTGCAGCGGCGGGGCCTATTGGCCCATACTGGGCAGTCTCGTTTACACCTAACCCATTTCTCTCATACAGTATATCCATACAACTTATATTTGAAGCTATCCAGCGTGTTCAAGTTAATGGTGAAGTTTGCTAACGTGTTTCACTCATCCACTACTCTAACTTCAAACCAGTGTTTACCTATCTCGCTACTAAATCTAAATTTGTCTAATTTAAAACCATTGCTACGAGTTCGTTCCTGGTTGGATAATTTAAGTACCTTTGTCATATCACCTCTGTTTAACCCTGACTGCCATTTATACACATCAATCATATCGCCCCTTACTCTACAACTCTCGAGGGAGTGCAATTTCAGGTTCCTAATGCCCGGGGTTAGTCTTGTCACCCTCCTCTGTATGCTTTCTAGGGATTCGATATCCATTCTATACTACGGTGACCAAAACTGCATAATCTAAGTGAGGTCTCAACAAGATTTAGTTTTAGGATAACCTCGCTAGTCTTGTAACTAACACTCCTTTGTATGAACCCAAGTACTTTGTTAGCCTCGTTTCGAGCAAATACACATTGTTGTCTTGGTTTAAGTTTCCTACTTATCATTACTCCTAAATCTTTCTCACAGTCGGATTTCTCTATATCAACGTTGTTCATGTGATATCTAGTTTCTCTGTTTACATCTCCTAGGCCAGTGGTTCTCAACCTTTTTCACTCCATTCCCCCCTTGAGGAATTTTCAACATCCTCGTGGCCTCCTTCATTTTTCTCCCAAACCACAAATAATGTTGAAAAATAATATGAGATGAAGAGAATACCCTTATTATATTTCAAGGTTGACAATCATCATTATCTTATATTTTGATAGACTTACATGATTTACATAACTGACGTCACTAGACTAGAGTGACTACTAGACAAGCCTCACAGCAAACTTGAATTTGGTTGAGAAAAAGTTCACATGACCTCTGCATATTTTGTCACAGCTCAATGGGAAGGCTGACATTGTTTCCTTTCAGTTAGGTGACTGATCCGAGGTTGTGTCACTGATAATGCACTTGTCATATCCGGGTCCACATCCAGTCGGTTCCGGCTTTTACTCTTTATATGTAGAAGGGTGAAGAAACCAGATTCGCATAAATAGGTAGTTGAAAAAGGCAAGAGGACTCGAAGTGCAATCTCGCTAACTTTTGGATATGACTGATACTGAAGTGTACTTCCTGTAAGCAAGAACATGCCTCCTTTGACAAGCACTGCCCAACTTGGAAGAATGAGAAGAATAGTGAGTCATACCAATTTAGCACTAAAAATGGTAGGATTATATAAGTAAAGAATGAGTATGAACAACAGAGGCACCAATAAATAAGGAAATAATTAATAAAGGAAGTGTACAAATATTTCACCCACGTAAAACAGCGACCACATGAATTATGAAACAAAATAAGTAACACCAATTATGGAGTATATTATGCTTGAGTCAAGCTCAAACACAATATATGGTTCAGAGACAATACACTTCACTGTTTTCGTGATGGTATCCCAGGCCAAACTGAGATCATTCTGTCACTTGCAAAGGGATGACACACGGACAAGTACTGAACAAGTTAGTTCAGCAGCTCGGTCCAGTGCCTGTCACACAGACAGGGACTGGACCTGTGAAATCTTAAATAATCCATAAAAAAAAAAAAAATTAGCACCAGAGTATGTAAATATTAAAATTGTATTGTCGTTATGATTAAACAAAATGACAAAAAAGAATGAAAACTCTCTTCTGCCAAGTCAAAATAATTAATACAACTTTTGTTTAATTCAGATTCCCAACATTATTTGGAAACGTACAATTTATAACAGCTCGCTGTGGCTCCCCTAAATTCTTGCCGTGGCTCCCTAGGGGGCCATGGCCCCCAGGTTGAGAACCACTGTCCTAGGCTAAGTACAGTTAACCCTCACTTTACGCGGTCCCGCATTCCGCGTTTCCACGTTAACGCGGTGCCTTGCCAGAACCTCACGTGCTCACATTACGCGGTACGTGAACCCCATTACGCGGAGAGTGTCCGGCGCGACGCTATTTTTAGATTCGCCCCACCCGCCACCCGCCCGCCTGCCTGCCTGCCTCTCCCTCCTCCTCCCTCCGCTTGGGCAAGCGGCGCGGTAAGGTTGCGCAGTGTGTGTCTTTGTTGCGTTATCACTGACGTCATATGACGTATGAGACCTGTGATTGGCCATGCATCCCTACCCCCCTCTGCTGCTAGCTGTAATTGGCTTAAAGTATTATGACGTGTCCACCCGGGGGAGGGAGGGAGGGAGGAAAGAAGTCATTCATGACGTGTCCGTAAAATGGCTTCCGCCGGACCACCACCCCCAGAGAGAAACCTTTCCTTACCTGGACCCAGCGGCACTAAACCAAAGAAGACACGACGTTCCTTAAGCTACGAGGTGAAGTATAGCATCATCCAAGAGTTGGAGAAAGGAACAAGGCAGGTTGATTTGGCGCGCCAGCATGGCGTGAACGAATCTACGATCCGGACTATAAAGAAGGATTCAGCCAAGATAAAGGAGCACATGAAGATCACAAAGTCTACAGGTGCTTCTATGATCAAGTATTTTCACAACCAGGTGCTTCTAAAGACAGAAAAATTACTTGTGAGGTACTTGGTGCGTCAGGCGCGACGGAACATGGCTGTCGACACGCGCTCTGTTAAGGACTACGCACGTGAACTGTACATGGCAGTGGCACGAAAGATGGAAACTTCAGAGCCCAAACCCTTTAATGCTTCCTCTGGGTGGTTACAGAGGTTTAAGATCCGGAACAAGATCACCAATATAAACATTGGTGGTGAAGAAGCGAGTGCTGATCGTGCTGCGGCTCAGGAATTTCCTCCGTTTTTACGTGAGATTATGGAGGAAGGACAGTACAGTGACGACCAGGTGTTTAACATGGACGAATCTGGTCTTTTCTGGAAAAAACTACCTTCCAAGTCCTACGTTGTGAAGAATGCCAGCAGGATTCGGGGCCGGAAAATGCAGAAGGAACGCATCACCGTCCTGTTTACCACCAATGCCTCCGGTACCTGTAAGCTCAAGTTATCGGTGATCCACACAGCCCGCAAGCCGCACGCCTACAAGAGCATGGACATGACCAAGCTAAATGTCCACTGGCTGACCGCACGTAAGGCATGGATGTTCTCTACACTGTCCTCCTGGTTTGATGACTGTTTTGTTCCCGATGTAAAGAAATTCTGTGAGCGACAGAATGTCCCATTTAATATTTTGTTGCTGCTGGACAACGCACCAGGACACTCGCCCCTACTGTTAGATCGTCACCCCAACGTAAAAGTGGTCTTCCTTCCTCCCAACACTACGTCTTTAATCCAGCCCATGGACCAGGAGTTGATTTGCAATGTGAAAGCTGCATTCTCAACAAAAAAATTCCAGCTCCTGAACGACTACACCAACACCAGGGAAGAGTTGCGTAACCTGAGTGACACCACCACCGATAGCAAGAGCGACGAAGATGAGGATCAACAGTTAGAACAGCAAAAAATACTGTTCAAACAATTCTGGAGAGTATTTAACATCAAGAAAGCTGTGGACTTCTTGGTGGAGTCATGGGATCAGCTGTCTATTGCTACAATTCGTCACGCATGGAGACAT